TACAATAGTGAATAATTGTTATCAGGACTGATTGTGAGGGTTGGAAATGTAAAGGTAGACGTTTTGTAGCAAAAGGAGGGGAGTGATTGACTTTGCAGTGTAAGAGCGGAGGTCCCTGCGACCATCAAGGGAGAAGAGCAGAGAGCAGGACCCTACCCAGAGAAACAGTGACACCAGAGATGGAGGCAGAGGCAATGATGTGGAGAGGTGGAGTGGCTGGGGATTTTAGACCCAGAGAGGGAGAGGGGTGTGTGCTGACTACTGGCGGGGAAGGGGGGCAGGCTTACAGGGTATACCCTTTGGTTGGTTGATGATGCATGGAGGGAATTGTAACCGTGGCAATGAAACGATATACAATAGGATGAATATAAAGCTAATGTTCTCCCATGTAAACTATCACATAATTCACAATAAAACATTACAAAAAAAAGAGAGAGAATTCCAGAACACCTGTTTGTGCTCATTTAGAACCTACCTGTACATAGACCAAGAAGCAGTCAATGATTCGAGCAGAGTAAGGGGCTACTTAGTGCATGGTGTAAAATCAGGAAAGGTGTGCATCAGGGTTGTATCTTTTCATCATATTTATTCAGTCTGTATGCTGAGGAAACAACCCAAGAAGCTAGACTATCTAAAGAAGAAAGTGGCATCAGGATTGGAAAAAGACTGATTAATAACCTGCATGTGTAAATGACACCACCTTGCTGGCTAGCATTTACAGATGGAGATCAGAACTGGCCTTTAGTATGAATTACACTCAAGCACTCAACCACAAAGTCGGTTTGAACCTCAAGGTCAGCAATTCAAACTCACCAGTTGCTCTTTGGAAACCCTATACAAGGTTGCTATGAGTCAGAACCAACTTGATGACATTTAACAGCAACAACATGAAGTTGTGCATATAGTTGCTGTGAGTCAGAACCAACTCTCCAGCACCTAACAACAACATAAAGAAAACAAAAATTCTCACAACTGGACCAATAAACAGTATAAAAATAAGCAGAGAAAATATTTGAAAGTTGTCCTGGAATTGATTTTTCTTGGATCCACAGTCAACACCCATGAAAGTAGCAGTCAGGAAATCAAACTGGGCAAATCTTCTTGAAAAGACCTCTATAAAGTGTAAGAGTAGAGATATTACTTTCAGGACTAAGGTGTGGCTGACCCAACCCATATTTTCAGTCACTTCATAAGCTTGTGAAAACTGTACAGTGAATAAAGAAGATTAAAGGAGAATTGATATGTGTGAATTATGGTGTTGGCAAAGAGTATTATATATACCATGGATTGTCAGATGAACAAACGAATGTGTCTTGGAAGAAGTACAGCCAGAATGCACCTTAGAAGCCAAGACAGTGAGCCTTTGTCTCGTGTACTTCGGACATGTCATCAGGAGGGAATACCAATCCCTAGTGAGGGACATCATGCTTGATGTAAATTCGAGAGTCTGCAGAAAAGTAGAAGACATGATGAAATAGACATGGCTCAGGACCAAGCAGTGATTTGTTCTCTTGTAAATAGGGTCACTCCAAGTAGAAACCATCTCAACAGAAACAGCTAATTAAAATGAATTTCTTTTTTTTTTTCAAATATTCTCTGGTTAGTTTCTACTTTTGTAATATCATTAAAATGAAATTGTTCATATAATGTGTTCAGTACCTTTAATTTCCCACACAAAAGCCATGAAGTTTAACAGAAAATTAATAATAGTGAGACCTTGCTCCACATTTGTCTCTTTTAGTGCTGGGATTGGAAGAACAGGCGTTCTTATTACTATGGAAACAGCCATGTGTCTGATTGAATATAATCAACCAGTTTATCCACTAGACATTGTAAGAACAATGAGAGATCAACGAGCCATGATGATCCAAACACCTGTGAGTACTGTACTATGTGTACAAATGATAATCCTTTGAGGTGATTTTTATTATCAATATGTATTGTGAGCCATTTTTTTCTCTTTAATTCCTTGCCAGGAGCTATTAACCTTTGCCTCTGAGACAAATCTGATCTGCTACCTATTTTTATAATTAAAGTTTTACTGGATCACAGCCATGCTTATTTTTTTTTATATATTATTTATGGCTACTTTCACGCTAACAGCTATAGATACCACATGACCAACAAAACCTCAAATATTTACTGTCTGGCCCTTTACAGGAAAGTTTGCCTACATCAACCCTAGCATGTTATTTATTGAGTTAATTCTAAATAGACTCAGAGGAATTTGCCTTTTAATACTTAAGTCAAGTGGAACACTGAGGATGCTAGCAATCTTCAAGTGGATAATCTTGATCAACCTGCTTTCATTACGTTCATTAAGGACTTAAATTGCAGCAAAATAAAATCGTAGAAATTAAGTTCCTTAGGATGATTTTCACTCACTAAATTATGCTCTAGGACTCAAAAAGAGGAATCATGGAGTTTTATAGTTAGTATTAAAATAACTTATTTTAGTATAATTAAGTCATTATGAATATTAGCATTGTCAGTGACAATAAAGTTACTGAAGTAGATTTACTTATGTAATCTAGTAAGTGCCTAGCATTTATAAACCTTTAATTATAGAAAATTTCAAATATTTAAAAGTAGACAAGATAATGTAATGAACACTGTTGGGTATGCAGACCCAACATTGGCCCTCTTACTTCATCTGTATTGCTGCCAAATTTTTCCATATTTGAAGAAAATCCTTGATATCACATCATTTTATCTATAAATATTTTAGTATGAACTTCTAAAAGAATGGCTTTTCCTTCCAAAACAAAACCACAATATCATTAGCACACCTAAATGAGGTAAACAGGAATTCCTTAATATTAACAAATAGCCAATATTCAGATATTCAGTGGCCTCATTAAAAATTTTTATTTAAGAACAATTTATTGAGATATCATTTGCATACCATTTTGACGTGTTCGATTTAGTTGTTTTTATTATATTCACAGTTTTATAATGTTCACCACTATGTAATTTCAAAGCAATTTTATCCCCTACAAAAAGGAACTGCAGACCCATTAGGAGTCACACCATTTCGCACCATTTCTTGCCAACCCTTCTCTCTGCCTGCTATCAGCTCTCCAACCAGAGGCAACTACTAATTTAATTCTGTGCCTATATAGATTTGCCTATTTTGAATATTTTATATAAATGAGATCATAAAATATGTGGTCTTTTGTGACTACCTTCTTTCAGTAAATTTAATGTTTTAGGTTTTACATGTTATAGTATGTATGTATGCACATGGAAAATTTTTATTATCTTTCCATTCCATTTTCCACAAACTTTTGAAACACTGCATGTCAGCGCTTCATGCCTTTTTATTTGCTAAATAATATTCCATTGTATAGACATACCACATTTTTTTAATCCATTCATCAGTTCATGAATATCTGGGTTGTTTCCACATTTTAGGTACTATAAATGTTCAAGTTTTATGTCGATATTTTTTTTTTTCCAACTCTCTTGAGCTTAAAATTAGAAGTGAAATTATTAGGTCATATGACACCAGCCGCTTCTCAAAAACCCTATACAGGGTCACTATGGGTTGGAACTGACTAGACGGCACTTCATAACAACAACATGACAACTCTAATTTTAACCTTTTAAGGAACTGCTGGACTATTTTCCAGAATATTGTATCATTGTATAATCATGCTAGCAATATATGAGAGATCCATTTTCTCAAAATCATGCTCAACACTTGTTATTATTTTTAAATTGAAATATATATCATTTTGTCATTAAGTTGTAAGAGTTCTTTATACCTTTTGGATCAAGTCCTTTATCAGGTATATTATTTGCAAATATTTTCTCCCATTCTGTAGGTTGTCATTTTACTTTATGGATGATGTCATTTGAAGAACAGAAATTTAACATTTTTTTGAAGTCTGATTTTTTTTTTTTTAATTGTTTATGCTTATAGTGTCATATCTAAGAAAGTATTGTCTAAATCAAGGTCATGAAGATTTACTTCCATGTTTTCATCTGAGAGTTGTATAGTGTTATTTCTCACCTTTAGGTCTATGATCCATTTGGAGTTAATTTTTGTATTTGGTGTAAAATAGGAGTTCAGCTTTATTCGTTTGTGTGTGGATATCTAACTGTCCCAACACCATTTGTTGAACAGGATATTTCATTCCCCACTGAATTGACTACAGTGATATTCCATTGTATGTCTGTCCTTATGCTAGTACTACACTATCTTTTAGTAAATTTTGAAATCAGGAAGTATAAGATCGCTAGTTTTTGTTCTTTTAATAGATTCTTTTGGTTATTCTTTTTCCCTTATTCTTGAATTTTATAATGAGTTTATCCATTTCTGCAAAATAGGCAGCTGGAGTTTTACTGCTTCTTCTTGTTAAGTGCTGTAGGTTCCAACCCATAACGACCCTGTATAGGGTTTCCAGCAAGTGATTGGTGAGCTTGAACTGCTGACTTTGTAGTTCAAACAACTTTGCAATGCAGCACATTAACCCACAGTGCTACACCAGGACTCCAGAGTTTTATTAGCAATTGATTTAATCTGTAGATCAATTTGGTGAATGTTGCATCTTAACAATATTAAATCTTCCAAATCATGAATGCAAGATGCCCTTCCATGGTGTTATTGTTAAGTGCCATTGAGTTGGTTCTGACTCAATGACCCAGTAAAGGTCTCCGAAGCTTTAAATCTTTGTGGGAGCAAAAACCCTTATATTTCTCTCGCAGAGCGGCTGACGGGCTCAAACAGCCCAGTGCTTACCATAAAGAGCCACTGCGCTCTTACTGATAACATGAATATTTATAGCTCTTCCCCTTTCTCATGTAAAAACAATATACATAGTTTTCTCCACTTGGTTTTTAATTTTGGTTTTGTATTCTTGTAACTTAACAACATGTCTTGAGACCCTTTGGTTGTGTTCCATCAATTGGGTTCTAATTCAGAGTCACTCTGTATAGGGTTTCTGTGACTGTAAATCTTTATAGGAATAGAAAGCCTCATCTTTTTCCTGTGGAGTGGCTGGTGTATTTGAACTGCTGAACTTGTGTCATAGCAGCTCAACATGTAACTCACTGTTCTACCAGGGCTCATAATAGTAGGCTGTCCACTCCTTTTATTTTTAATGCCCCTACATAGGATGCCATTGTGAGTGTATACCATCGATTATTCACCTAATCTCCCTTAGTGATGGCAGTTTGGATTGAGTTTTCTGTTATGCTAAACAACAGGTTTGTGGATAGACTCCGAGAAGTGGAATTGCTGGATCAAAGGGCACATTCAAATTTCTCTCCAGAGTGGTTATAGTATTTTACATCCTTAACAGTAAATGTATATGATAGGATTTTGTCAGCAAAAAATGTGTGGTCAAAGTTTTGTATTCTTGCCAATGTTGTCTTTATGCAGCTTTAAATTGCATTTCTTTTAATGTGAGATGTTTCTCTTGTTTTGTTTTCTGATCAATTTTATTTTTTTCTATTTGATTTTTCAGAGTCAATACAGATTTGTATGTGAAGCTATTTTGAAAGTTTATGAAGAAGGATTTGTTAAACCTTTAACAGCACCATCAAATAAATAAGAAAGCAAAAGGACTGGATTATGTGTTGAAAAACTACTTTCTCTTATTTTCAGTGTGCCATAATACTGCTTGCAGGAAATGGCATCTAAACAAAAAATGAAGAACTAACAAAAACTTGAAATCTTCAGCACTGTTGCACTTTACATTTTAAAAAATCACTCTCTCAAACTATTTAATGCATATGTTTGAAAACTATTTCATGCTTTGCTCCGAACAAATAGTGAGTAATTGAGTGTGTGTTCAGGGTCATTTATGAAATTCTGCAGTGGTGCCATGCAGTCCCCTTCTGGTAGAATCGCCACACACAAGGCTCAGAGTTTTCATCCTCTCTGTTAACATCTGTATCTTGAAAGCAAAAAGAAGTAAACATCAGGAGTCAGCCATGGTATTTTCCTAGGATTCACGTACTTAACTGCATACTGATTGCCAGGTTTTATTTTTGAAATTTTAGCAATATCATTCTCAATATTAGCCAATGTATTGCCTATGGATGCAGCACATTCTTCCCTGTATTACCTATAGAGACCTGCTGTTCATAAGAAGAAAGACGGAATCTGTTATTCCCAGGAAATGCTGCACATTGTCCATTTACCAGCATCGTATAGAAAGTATGTATAAATATGAAATATGAATCTACAAATTTTCTTAGATTTAATAATGTTAACTTATATTTATCATAAGGCTGGCTTAATCCAAATCATGTGATTTCAGATACTTGATGTAAATGAATGCATGCATTGTGTCTTAACCCCTTAAGTGCCTTGAGACATCCTTGTATGTCTAATGACAAGGCACTCATCTGACCCCACTAGGAGGTATATATGTATATTGTACATTCTTAACATTTTTATGAATTTTGAATAATTTCACATCTTAAAAAACAGCTTCTTGTATTGAAAGTTATATAGTCAAAGAAAGGTAAAGAAATTCTTTTGCTTTCATTTTTGCTTAATACTTGTATTTTGCCATAAAGAAAGCAAAGAGAATTTGTGTTCTACTGAGTGAGCATTGTGCTGCTATAGAATTGTTCAAAATCTACACATTCCTTTACTAGGGGACAGGGGTTAAAGTCTAACAATTCAATATACGAGATGCTTTATTCTTCAGATTTCACATTTGTTTTATCCCTGCTTTTATATATGGTATCTAATATGCACATGAAAGGTAAACATTGATACTCCAAGGTAAAGTTGTAGTAACTGATTATAATTTATTCTTATCACTTAACAAATTATTAGTTTTCAAAGTTAATTTCAGTTCATATCAAGCTTTGTTCGTACTGGTCTGTTGGTTGAGATACTTCAAATGAGGAATGAAATGTTTTTGACTTATTTCTACATGTAAAATAATGAGGGTTTCTTACCATTTTTGTACACAGTTAAATTGCACTAGTTGCTATGTACTTGTTTGCATTATAAGCGTGTTAATAAGGAGCATTTTGACTTTCCAGCCTGATGGAAGGCCTGGTTTCCCTTACAGATGCCTCCATTTTCTGCTCCAGCTTTTTGTTTTGTTTTAACTGTCCAGTTTAATCAGTGGGTAGTTGCTCACCTATTCAAATGTTACTGTGCACAATTATTTTATATAGATTGTGATCAAAATAGATTTTAAAATGTTTTTTAAATATTTATCTATAGTCTTGGTTGCATTTAGAGTGAAATGATTGCTATTTTGGAACGCCATTTAATATGAGGAAAAAGTATACTTTAAATGATATAATTTCCAAATGTTCAGAACTCATAATAATAACTGTTAGAAAGTTAAGCTCCTAAACATTAATTGTCAACATACCAATTATATTATTATTTTTAAATACCTTTGATTTGTTTAAAGAAAGAAGTAAATATAACCTTATGGCCAAGATAATTCTCTTATCTATTTCTAGATTTTGAATCAAACCAGTGCAAAATAGTAAATAACCCTAGTCTTATTAAACATTCCATTCTCTACTGACATATCAGTGTAATTTAAACTGCTATGTGGCACCATGATAAGTTGAAAAGTGAAAATCTAAAAACATGCTGGGATCTTGCATATTGAATAACTGTTTTAGCAGTTGTTTTTCACTAAAGTATCCTAACTGTATAGACAGAATACGGCAACCACAGACAAAGGGACAGTTGTAAAGATGTAAACCAACAAATGTAATGGTTTACATGTTCTTCAATTTAAGGCTTGGTTTACACTTCTGAGTTTTATAATTTGTTGGCAATGAGTACTGCTTTTTCTAAGCATTAATGTATATCTTTAAATGACAATATTAAAAGTTTAGAATTGCATTTTAATTTCTCATGTATGAATTTTCACTGGGAACCACACTCTCAGTATTTTTATGTACAGAAAGATCCTTTTTGCAAACCATATTTATTAGGATCTTACTTAAATTTAAAATAGATTATCCTTCACACCTTCTTATGTCTCCCTACTCACCCAAAAAGATAAGACCTAGGAATTTTTTAACCTGTTTACTAATCTAAATAGGTTTCTAGGAATAATCCTAGCTTCCATACTTTAAATAGTTCTAGACTCCCTCCCTCCATATCACTGAACGTTTCATGTATCTATACTTCTCTCCATCTCGCATCCAGCTGCCCATACCACATACACACATTCAAGAAAGCAATGCTGAATTTTAGTCTGACAAGCAGAAATAGATACTGACAAATAACTTTTATAAATGCTAAGAAGTATTGTGCAGACCTTACCTTCTCTGATTTGGGATGGCTTTTCCATGTTTATTTTGAGTGTTTTATTGAGCATCTGATTATGTCAACACTGTGTATTTACAATTAGGAATATTTTGTCATAGACTTTGTATCTTCCCCCCACCAAAAAAAAAAGGAAAGAAATTCTTAGTATTTTTAAGCCAATGAACCTACTCAAAATAGAGGCAACCTAAGAAACAACTCCCTTTGTGTGGTATACTGGTATAATAGAAGGGATTAAAAAGGAAGGAGGATCATTTTGATTAGGAGTAAAGAGACATTTATTTCATTTATGAAAATAACTTCAAATATATAAATGTTCGTTAGGCCAATATGTATTTCACAATGGCTTATACTTACAATTAGGGGGAAAGGATTATTTAAATTTTGGAGTTGTTTGTAATTTGTTGGCAAACCTGATCAGTTCTAATCTGGTAAAGACTCCTATCTCCACTAGAAAGAATAAAATTTGAGAGATTAAAGGGTCCTGATATATTTTATCCACTTTTCCCCTCACCCATTTTATAGGCACTAAACAGGTCCAAGAAGGGCAAGTGATTTAGAAGATACTGATTTTCTGAAATTGAATTTTTCACTTCTCAGTTGGATGTTCTCTATATTCTACTGGGGTTTCAGTAAATGACAGTCTATGTGAATATTATAAATTATTGTGAATTTTAGTCTCTTTCAGCTCAGAGAAGCATACTCAGGCTGTCTTTTCACTTCATAACTGCTGTGACCATAGATGATGTCACTTAACATTAGAAAATAGAGTTCAAAATGTGATCTTAACGAGGATGTCAACTCAGTTTGCTAGTCATATTTCCCTGGATAAGCTTCTGTAAAGTATTTACGTTTCTATATATGCAGTATAAAAGCGTTCTAGATGGCAGACTAGAGGACTGATTTTTTAAAGACACTTAAAACAGATTTAGGATATATATTCATTTATAATCAATTCATGTTCATATTGTGAGCATGTAGTAGAGTTAAAGCATTACTTGTTTTATAATCTCATCAGGAAGGCAGAAAGAAAAAAATTATAATGTACTATTTAATATCTGTATTTTGAATATTTAAACATTCTGATGATAAGGTTGCCAAAGTAGTTTTGAATTTACAATTATTTATACCACAATAATGTGGGAAATGTTTACAGGCTAGTTAATATTGCAGTAGTTATTTTGTAGTTCAAATGAATTTGCATTTAAATCATTTATAGTAAATGTGGTAATTTGTTGGAATAAACATCTCTTAATATGATAGGACATAGATAAAATACGCCACAACATACTTTTTATATAAGCTGTCATATTAAAAAAGTAAGTGACTTTATATTAGTGTTGCCTACTTCTCACATTTGCTTCAGCTACCAACTACCATTTTTTTCAGTGTTTCCTCTAATTGGAATACGTATGTTATTTAAAACTCACTGGATTAACTTGAGCAAATATCAGAGTTACGGATCTAAAGATAAAGATACTTTTGTGGTTCAGTGTGAGTACAAGTTGTAGCAACTATTTGTAAAATACGTAAAAATTTGTGTAGATACCAAGGAATTTACATAATCCTAAAACGTTTCTGAGAGATAATTGCTAATAGAAAATTTCCTCCATTTTACAAAGAACCTAAGGAATCAATCACCAATTCATGTGGTTTTGGTTCAACTTATAATGTCTGCAACTGTTACCATCAAAATTTTTTATTACACATACCCCTCTCCCCCAAAATACAACAAAACTCACTGCCATGGAGTTGATTCCAACTCATAGCAACCCTATAGGACTAAGAAAAACTGTCTCATAGGGTTTCCAAGACTGTACATCTTTTATAGAAGCAGACTGCCACATTTTTCTCCCAAGAAACAGATGGTGGGTTTAAACTGGCAATCTTTTGTGTGGCAGCGGAGAGCTTTAACCACTGTGCCACTAGGGTACCTTATTACTTATTATTGTTGTGAAGTGCCATCAAGTCAGTTCCGACTCATAGCAGCCCTGTGTAGGGTTTCTGAGGAGTGGCTGGTGGGTTTGAACTGCCTACCTTGTGATTCACAGTCCAGTGCTGATACTACAGCACCTCACCAAGTAGTAGTTCATTATTCTTAGAAGCAATTACACCAGTAAGCTTTTCAATATTATACCAAACAAGCAACAAGCCCGATGTTGTAATTGGTATGATCTTGGTGACGTTGTTAGAGATAGGCACTAAATCTTTCTGTTTCCTTAGCTAAATTTGCTGCTATTTATATGTTTTTCTACTGCAGTATTCTGTTGATTTCTGAAGTTCTGTAGTCATTTTTGTTGTAGTAACCCAAGCTAAATGGGCAGCCAGGCTAGTATCTGCTGAGAAGCTGTCTGTCTTCATTGGCTAGATCTGGTTCCTTGCATAAATAAGTAAACCAGTTTTTTGTTTGTTTAACCTGCAAAAGTGAAATGTATTAGCAATATTGCAAGTTAAAGACTACAACTGTAGGGGGACTTCTAAA